GAGAGAGAGAGAGAGAGAGAGAGAGAGAGAGAGAGAGAGAGAGAGAGAGAGAGAGAGAGAGAGAGAGAGAGAGAGAGAGAGAGAGAGAGCTATGTAGAAATTATTACTGCTTTGAAACTGCTGCCGGGTGTGGAGAACACCCATCTCTTGGCTTTTTCCTCGACATGTGGTGTTCGTTGTCGTCCTCGTTGTTGTCATTGTCATCATCGTGGCCTCTCGCGGGGGGCCCACTTGCTATAGGACGTCATGAGGGAGAGGAGAGGTCTGTCTGACAGGGGCTGCGAGTGAACGCAGAGCCCTGTGGCATTGTGTGTGAATCAAGGCGTGCACTAAGAGGATTGAAGAGGTAGTAGGGACGTGTGGATGTGGTGATGGAGAAATAAGGCAAACTTCTGAGAGAAAGAAAGGCTAACAACATCTGAGAGAAGAGAAGGAAGGCTATAGCTTCTAAGAGAGGAGAAGGGGCTCTAACTTCTGAGAGAAGAGAAGGAAGGCTGTAACGTTCTGAGAGAAAGAAGGGTTGTGTGTGCGGGAAAGAGGGAGGAAATGTATATGCGGAGGAGGGAGGAGAGCAGCGCGGTGTGGCACGATCGAGCTGGCATGCCCGGTGTACGGTCTGAAGTGCCGGGGTTGTGAGAAGTGGGACAAAGAGGAGGCCTGAAGGTGGACTCAGCTATGGATTCGGCGGCGGCAGCGCCACCACAAGGTGGCTACGGTGGCCGTGGCAGCCAGGAAGAGGACGACGAGGTAACTCTTCAGAAGAAGAGGGACATATTCAGTCAGGACTTGGCAGGAAGCAGATCCTTTTTTAGAAGTCCCCTCACTGGTGACGGCAGCATGAGTGCCGATGCAGGGATTCACGCAAAGCCAGGATTCAGAGAGCGGAAGACGGCCACGTCATCGATGACGTCAATGAGTATAAAGAATAGTAATAATAATGAGGGAAGCGGTGGTGTCGGTGCAGGCTCTCTTTTTGGTCCCGGCTGGACAAAAGCCTCCTCGGCAGAGATCGGAAGAAGAGTCGTGACCAAATTTTCAGAAGAGATTAAAACTGAGGTGGGTGATACGGATTGCAATAGGCTGCAAGGTGCAGGGCGCATCTCCAGTGCAGGTGGCAGCAGTGGAATAGCGTTTGTTCGAGGGGGAGGGGCAGGGGGAGGGGGAGGAGAAAGAGGGGAGTGGACTGAAAGAAAGGAAAAAGAGGGGAGGGAGAAGGGGAAAGGCCAACAAGATGATCGTAAGCGACAAGGCGGCGGAGGAGGAGATGGCAGTGAAGTTGGAGAGCAGTATGATGAGGAGGAGGAGTGGACATGGACGGAAGGGAGTGATTCGTCGGAGGGAACGTCAGGTCGAGGAGGAAGTGCTGCAGGCGGGGGAACGAAACAGCAGAGCGAAAGGAAGACAAAGAAGAAGAGGAGGAAGAAGAAGAAGAAGGAGAAGGGCAAGGGCAAGAGTAACGGGCAGCAGGAGGAAACTATCGCCACCTCTAGTAAGACTCTTGGAGGCCTACGACAGGCTGGTCCTTCTGCTGCAGAAGCAGGAGGAGAAGCAGCAGGCTTGAACGATTTTGGCAGCTGGACGAGGACATGCAATTTAGATGCAAGTGGAGGGATATGGGGGCGGGCGAAGTCGATGGAGTCGGCAAAGTTGGAAAAGTTGAATATTTTGGATTCCGCTGCTGGCAATTCCGCTGCATCTTACGTTTCTAGTTCTCCTTTCTTGGGTCGCTCGATCAATCGGATTCAAAGCACGGTTAAGAGTAAGGGTCAGGCTGGTCCGGTGCAAGGAGGGAGCGGGTTGTCGGGCGGCGGCGAGGCCTTGTCGGGTCTCCTCCCCTCTTCAGGTGGCGAAGGTGTTGGTGGAGGAGGAGATACGCTGCTGGTCTTACAGAAGGCAAGGGAGCTGATCCGAAGCCATTCCCAGGCTAGACGGCCTGTTGCCGAAGGCGATGGGGAAGGTCCGGAGGACGAGGTGGTGGAATCCAAAGGGAGGGTTCGCAAGGTGACTACCAAGAGAAGGAGCTTCAAAATCAGTTCTTCTAGTGCGCAGGAGGACAGCAAAATTCTGAAGGTCAAAGTCGTGACATGGCTTGAGCACATTCTGTGCGAAGATATTCCGAGCACGATGCCCCTGGAGGACATTCTTGCTGATGGCACGCTGCTGATTCAGGTAATGAGAGTAATTCAAGAGAGGAAAGAAAAGGCGAAGACAATTGGACTGGCGAAAGCAAAAGCACTGCCGAGAGAGAAGAGAGAGTGCCCGGCTATATATAAAACAGGCGTGGGCTCGAAATTGACCTTTCTCGCATACGGAAATGTGGACATGTTCCTCAAGTTTCTGAAACGCTGTGGTATTCCGGAAAGTGAGCACTTCAGCATTGCCGACCTCGTGGAGAAGAAGAGCATATGGCGTGTGATGACCTGTTTGAGATGGCTGTCCAAGAAATTGCGCGACGAGCGTCTGGAAGACTACGATATCGATAACATTTTTGATCTACTCAATATTCATCTAGGGGACAATGAGCAAGGGGAGGACATGGTATCGAGGAGGCAAGCGGCTGAGTTGGCGGTGGTAGACCCCAAGCCGGACGAAAGGGGACGGCAGAAAGGACAGGAGGTAGGCTCATCAGAGCGCACCACCACCACCACCTCCTCCTCCTCCTCCTCCTCCTCCTCTTCTGAGGAGAAAGCCGAACAGCAGCTTCAGCAGGAGCAGGAAAATGGGTGTGGGAAAGGGAAGGAGGGGCTGAGTGGCAAAGTGAAGGAGGTCGAATTAGCGGTTCCTTCTAGCACTCCCTCGACTCATCGCCTCGGTGGCGTAATCTCTCCTCCAATTCCTCCACGTCCTCCTTGTGTTCATTTGCCTCCTCGTAGTGCTCCTCCCCCTCCTGCGGTTGTGGCTACAGTCCCCTGCCCTCTCTCTTCTGTTGTTGCCCTCTCTCCCATGTCCTTGTCATCAGCAGGAGCAACACCTCATTCGGTTGATGAATCGTTGGATGTTAATGAAGCTGGGCCGATGGCAGTCCCCCCTCCTCCTACTTCCCCGGCAATCGGCACACACGCGTTACTTAGGGAAGCCGAGGAGCGGGAGAAGGAGAGGCTTGTGGAAGAACAGAACGGCGCCGGGATTGATCAGCACCACCAAAAACACGGTCAACTGCTGGATGAGCAGAAGCAGGAGCAGGAACGGCCGCAGGATAGGCAGCAGCAGGAGCAGGGGCGACAACAGCAGGAGCAGGAGCGGAAGGCAGACAAGCTCTTGAAACCGACTTGGGGCATGACGCTGCTCACAGCAGCCCGCCAGAGCTCGGGAACTCAGCAAGGGCACAAAAAGGAAGAGGAAGGCGATGCCGTGACGGCTACCGATGCCGATGCTGGCAATGGTGATACATTGACTGCTGCCACTGCTAGTGGTGCTAGCAGTGCCTCCTGTGCTGGAGAGGGGGGAGTTGCTTCGCTGGAGGCAAATCTCAAAGCCAGGCTTCGGCTGCTGGTCGAGAAACACGCTTTGAAATCGCCCAAGGCTCAGTGGAAGCGCTTGATGTCGCAACTTCCTCCAAGAGAGCGCCGGGCTGAGAAGGAGCTCCTCTACTCCGAGTCCTTCAAGCAAGAAGACCTCGAGTTCTTGGAGAGGAAAGCCAAAGCGTGGATCGAGTACACGTTGTGCATTCGTCTGGCCGAGGGGCCGCCGTTGATTGATTACCTCGCTGACGGCAACATGCTGGCACAGATCATGAAGAAATGGCATCAGAAGTATGACCTGCCGGATGTCACACGCGTCCTGCCGAGAGGGCCCAACTTCAGCCCCGTTCTCTTCCGCACGGGATCGCGACTCGGGTTCTTTGCCTATTCCAACGTGCTGGCCTTTCTCCGCTTCTGCAAGGGTCTGGGCTTGGAGCAGACAGAGATCTTCAATCCGGCGGATCTGGTGGAGAAGAAGGACCCCAGGCGCGTGTACATCTGCCTGAGGGCTATCTCAAAGAGGCTAAGTGTGCGGGGCTTGGAAACTGTCGACCTGGACAATGCCATCGCGCAGCGTGCTGCTCAGACCTTCAAAACCGAAGATCGCCATTGGGAATTAATGCAGCAGGAACCGGCAGACGAGGTCGATGAGGTCAATGATGAAGACGTGGCTACAGTGGAAGAATTGGTGGATAATGATAACGATAATGATGAGGATCACACCGCCGACGTGGATGAAACTTGCGAGTTAGATGCTCTCCGCAGCGAAGGGCAGGGCGAGGACAACAACAAAGGTAAGCATACGAGGCCATCGAAAGCCCTTTGGGGAGGACTGGGAATGATTGCGCGAATAGCGCAGATGCGCCAGCGGCAGCGGCAGGAAGTTGAGAAAGTGGGGCAACCGCATGAACAATGTGGCCAGCTTGCAGCTCGGCACATCGACACTGACATGGACATCGTCACACTGGGAAAACTTGATGCAGCTCTGAAAGGTCCAGTGATGGAAGATGAGGTACGCGCCTGGATGGAGCGAAGGAGGAGATGGAGGAAGGTATCCACCATGTCTTCGTTCATCGCAAGGAGTCGGTCGTTCTCATTCAAGCCCTCCTCGCTCCACGGAGCAGCAGCGCTAGCACTGTCCTCGTCAGGAGCGATGAAAGGCCCTGTTGATCCAGCTACTTCTGCGGATGCTGCTCCTCCCGTTGAAAGTAATGCCAGTGATGCAGACGGAGGAGAAGGTCGAGAAGATAGAGCAGATGCAGGGGATGAGGTGGTTGAGGAAAGAGGAGAAGGAGATGGGGACGGTGGAGAAGGGGGAGCTGATGCAGGGGATGAGGCAAGCGAAGGAGATGATGGAGAACATGAGGATGANACAAGGAGATGGGGACGGTGGAGAAGGGGGAGCTGATGCAGGGGATGAGGCAAGCGAAGGAGATGATGGAGAACATGAGGATGAAGCAGATGCAAGGGTGAGGGAAAGAGAAGGAGAAGACGACGGGAACAAACGCACAAAGAAAATTGAGCGGGGGACGAGCGAGCAGATAGAAGAGGGCGGACCCTCAGATGCTGCTGCTGCAAAGAGCAGGGTAAACGAGGAAAGAGGAGAAGGAGAGGGGAGAGAAGAGGTGGTCCGTCCCGAGAGTCTTGAACAGACTTCGCAGCCGATGGAAGAGCAGGATATTGACAAGCGCTCAGCCACTGGCGTCAGAGGTCTAGCTGCTGGTGGACTGACGGAAGATTTGCCAGCAACAATTGAGCTTTCTGAAGTGGAGGACGAGATAGAGATAGAGGAGAAGAAGCTGGTATGGGAGCGTGTCCAGTCGTTGATGACGAGCATTCAACAGTTACGTGGCTTGACCGAGGAGCAGTCCCCCTCGGGGGGAAATACTATCAGCAGTGGGGCTCCTCCTGCAGGGCTTTGGGAGAATTCGGTAGGAACAGGGGAAGATCAACAACAGGGAAGAGGTCAGGGGAAGGGGGTGAAATGGAGGAAGATGAAATCGTTGGTAAGCACTGGCTTTTTGCGCAGTGGCCTTTATGACAGTTTACCTCTCCCCACGATCAAGGAAACACAGTCATACGACTCAGCAAAGGAACTGCTGGTACAAGAAGAAGATAATGAGCATAGAGAAGAGCAAGCGGAGAAAGAGCCGCCCGTGGACGAATCAATAGAAGAAGAAGAAGAAGAAGAAGAAGAAGAAGAAGAAGAAGAAGAAGAAGAAGAAGAAGAAGAAGAAGAGGAGGAGGAGGAGGAGGAAGAAGACTGGAACGAGTTCAAGCCGAGAGAGGTAGAAGAAGAAAAAGGACAGCGTAATGATGATCCTTATTTTGATGGCGATGCTCATGAGGACAAAGGATCAGAGGTGGAAGCAGCAGCAGCAGCAGCAGCAGCAGCAGCAGCAGAAGAAGAAGAAGAAGAAGAAGGGCATATGGACATGGAGGAGGAAGATGCGGGAATACAGATGGAGGAGAGAAAAGAAGAAGACGCAAGAATAGAGGAGGGAGAAAAAGCAGACTTCCCAATAGCCATGGAGCAGAAAGGAAAAGTAGGCGCAGAATTAGCAGTGCAAGAGGGCATTGTTGAAAGAGAACACATGAAAATAAAGATGCAGGAGGAAGAAGCAGAAGCTGCAGAAAAAGCAATTGAGGACACTGAAGTAAAAAATACGGAGGTAGAAGAAGCCAAAGTAGAAGCCAAGGTAGAAGAAGCCGAAGTAGAAGCCAAGGTAGAAGAAGCCGAAGTAGAAGCCAAGGTAGAAGAAGCCGAAGTAGAAGCCAAGGTAGAAGAAGCCAAAGTAGAAGCCAAGGTAGAAGAATGCGAAGTAGAAGCCAAGGTAGAAGAAGCCAAAGTTGAAGCCAAGGTAGAAGAAGCTGAAGTAGAAGCGAAGGTAGAAGAAGTCGAATTAGAAGCCGCGGTAAACGAGGCCGAAGTAGAAGAAGCCCAAACAAAAGCCGTCAAGGTGAAGGAGCCCAAAGTAGAAGCCAGCCTTTGGGTAGAAGAAGCCGGAAAAGTTGACCCAGACGAGCCGAAAGGACAAAAAGTCGTTGTGGTTCAAAAAGAGGTAAGAGAAGCCGAAGAAGGCGGCGAAGCAGAAGCAGGAGTAGAAGCCAAGGTTTTAGCAGCCGAAGTAGAAGCCAAGGTAGAAGAAACCCAAGTACAAGCCAAGGAAGAAGAAACGGAAGTAGAAGCCAACATAGCAGTGGAAGTGAAGGTAAACGAAGTGGGAAAAACGGAGCCAGAGGAGCTGAAAGGACAAAAGCATGTCGTGGTTGAAGAGAGCGGGGAAATGGAGCAACGGGAGCTGAAACGAGACAAACACGTCGTTATGGAAGAAAAATCTCCTTCGCGATTATTGGATAAAGAGGCCCAATCATCATCCTCATCCTCATCATCATCATCATCATCAGCAGCAGCAGCAGCAGCAGCATCACCATCATCACTAGGAGCAGGTCTTCAAGCGGCTCTGGTGGAAAGTGGTGAAGATCGTTACGACGGCCATCACACCACTGTGGTGAAAACAGAGAGCGAAGACTCGCCATTGCCTCCAGGGGGAGGAGGAGATGAAATTGCCCGGGCTGGTCTTTCCGCTCTTGCAATGTCAGACTTCAATGTGTCAGGACCATCCGAGCTGCTGCCGTCCATCCCAGTCCCCTCTGGCACTGTAGCAGATGCAAGTTGTCATCTGGTGGGATCGCTGGGATCTCCGTCTTCTTCTTCTTCGGCCCCTTCTGCTGGAATAGCTGCAACTTCTTCTTCTTGCCCTTCTTCTGTTGCTGCCATTGCCACAGATGCAGCTTGTGTTTCTTATTCTTCTGTTGCTTCCATCGCGACAGCTGCAGCAGCTATGGCAATGGCTGCCGCTGTTGTGGCTGCAGCTTCTGCAGCTTCTGCGGCCGCTGCTGCGGCAGCTGCAGCCACCCCATCAACGCTAACTGAAGGCACAGCTGACTCCCTGTCCAACATGCTGCAGGAGGTCTCCCTATGTCAGGATGATGAGAAGCGAGTTGACAGTAGGGGACTGTCTACTACTCATCCTATAGTCCACCAGTCGGGAAATCCATCATTTTCTGCAGTGATGGAGAATAGTTCTGGTGTTCTGCTTACCACGATTCCCGCTAAGGGATCCAGCACGAGATCACCGGCCGCTCTTCCTGTCGAAAGCAAACACAGCGTTTCTTTGCAATCCAATTCTCTCTCCTTTGTGTCCCTAGGGTGTGCAGCGGGTGGTGATGGTGACAACTGCCACGCTGTTGCACCATTTCCCTGTCCGTCCCCCATGGTTATTTCCGAGAGCCGCTCTAAGGAGGAGGTTGCTCCAGCTGACCCTGGCCTTCCTGCCATGGAGGATGCAGGGCTTCTCCGAGAGGAAAAGAGTGTCGAACAACAGCGACTACTAACGGAGAAAAGGCAAATTGCTGACCCGATCCCGAACAACGACCCGGAAATGAAGACGGCCGCTCTCCTAAGGACTAGGTCGTCCCCTGCTGTGATGACGGCAGCTGTCCTAAGGACAGCCTCTTCCCCTGCTTTCTTCCCCCTTGATTCCCATCCTCCTCCTCGGGAACTATCTCCCTCCGCCGCCACCTCCTCGTCCACCTCATTGTCTTCCTCTCTCCGATCGCAGAGGTTTCCTGGAGTGCGTACACTGCATGGCAATGGGAGGGAGTTCAATGCCATGTCAACCTCCTCCAAGCAGGCACAGATTCCTGATCCGAGGAGTGAGGCACCGGCTGTGACAGAGGAAGCAACAAGCTCTGGGACACGTGCCCCCCCTGGAGCTGGAGGTCTGGATACCGACTCTGCTGCAGACCGGTCTGCGCTCATCGAAACGACGACAGCAGCTGTACAGCCTTCTTTGTCCTTGGCAGCGGTATACCGGTCAATCCCGACCAGGTGGTCAGGGATGATGACCACTCAGGCTGATGTGACGAGGAAGAACCCTACGTCGGTGATCCCAACTCCCGTCGCGACGCCGAGAACCAGACCTCCTGTTGTCATAACTGCCTCAATCTTGGTGGTTTTTGTGGCTCTCTTGTTCTCTCTGTCGAATGACCCACTGTACGCCACTTCCCTGGACTCTCCCCACAATGCTGAGAGTGGCATTGGCGCTGTGCTGTTTCCAGGCTTCTCGTTTGTGCTCAAATTGCTGGCCATCATCCTTTCAGCAGCCGTCTTGCGGCTTGCATTTTCCCCTCCCAGTTGAAACTCAGGTACCAGTACCTCTATCATCATATCATGTCTATGTGACACTGTCTATGTCTGTGAGACCATCATCCTTTCCTTTCAGCAGCTGCAGATCTGTCTCTGTCGGGTTGGCAAGGAAAACCAGCCCAAGCCTGGCAGCAGTCATGAATCATGACCTACCAGGTCGTACGTCAAATGTTGATTGGTATGTATGTCAATTTATTGAGATTGGATCTACATATCGTTTCTTTTATTGAGATCAGATCTATGTAACGTTTCTTTTATTGAGATTCGATCCACTTGCCGGTTTCTGCAGATTTGGGGTATTTCGGAATTCGATCTGTCTACCAAACGGGTATTACGAAGTCGTACAGCGTGTTGGGTTCTGCGGATGTAGGTCTCTGCAAATGTGATCTGTCAGTCTGTTGATTGATGTGAGTCAAATCCAGCAGCTACAGGTAGAGGGCTGGACCAGTTGTCGGGAGGGTAGTAGAAATAGAAACAGATAACCTTGTCTATTGGACTGTCGATCGCTGGATGCGGCAATCAGGCTAGTTTATTGAACTTTATTCTATGTATGTAGTTTGGTTTGAAACTCATGGTGGGTAGTTTGGTCAACTTGGGTATGATCACTCTGCTTGCGGGTTTCTTTTGCGCTAGCTTTGCACGTAAGACTCCATCTTTTTTTTCCCTTTCGTCTTTTTTGCCCCTTTCCCTTTCTTGAAGAACAGGGCAGGAAGCTTTTGTAGAGGAAGACTTGGCTAACTGCTTTCCCAGATTGTGTAGGTTCAGGTTCTTTTTCGTTTCCGAGAAAGAATGGGAAGCCTCTTTTATAGAGAGCAAGACTTCGCCAAAAAAAAAAGGGCCCGGATCTTATCTTCACTGGCGACAGATGGTGTGTTAGGATTTTATCTTTTTCTTGCTTCTTCTTAGGACCAAGTTGCTTCTTGACCCAGATTCGTCGCGAGTTGCTGAGTTTGATTCCTGGTTTCTTGGTGACGGGTGAAACGGAGCTGTAGGTAAATGGGTGTATCTGGATTGGTGGGTTAACAAGTTAACGGAACTGCGGGTAAATGGGTCCACAGGTAAATGGAAGTGTGCGCTAACGGGTCACGGGCTGGCATAACAGTGGGTTAATTGGTTCACGCGAGCTTCACGGGTTCACCTAATCGTGCATTGACGGGTCAGGGGCTAACAGAACTGTGGGTTAGCACCCTTATGGGTTAACGGAGCTTTGGGCCAACTGCTTCTTGACTCGGTTAATGGGCTAGCTAGAACTGGTTAACAGATTATTGCCTGTCAGCACTCGCTTGGCGATAAGTGGTGTGAGTGAGTATGACCCAACAATCCAGAGGGGGTTGGGGGGGGGAGGAGTGCGTGGGCGTTCGATATCCATCTTTGATTCATGCCTTCGTTGGATTTCTGGTTGCGTGTGCTCAGCATTTCCACTTTTGCAAGCTATGGTAGTTTCATTGGTAAGAAGTATTTCCTTAGAAAGTCAAACGCTATGTCTGTGTTCTGCCACAATCCTTTTTTTTTCTGTTATTTATTTTTCCATATGGGTTCTGTTGGAGAGCCAACAAGACCGTGTGTGTTCTAACGAAGTAAAAAAGCAATTGCCATGCTCTTGCTTTCAAACACGTAACCTCTTGGATCAGTGTTCCTCCCGGGAGAGGTCCCACTTACCCGAATCCCTCGCTTCTGACCGTTGATTGGTTGAAATAGAGAATCTGGGTACTAGATGAAACCTCCTTCCCCTGGTCATCGTTGTTGTCCTTGAAGTCATGGTGGCAATAACCGGCCCTGCAGCTGCCTGCTGATCGTGTTCCTTTGTCTCTGCAACTGCGATCTAATTCGTAATTTAAACCATTACTCCATCAGCCCCTCTACTGTAGATTCAACTCGTCAACGAGTAGAGGGGCTGAATCTACAGTACTAAGGCCCGCTGGAGGTTTGGATGGCCAGGGCCTGCTGGCCCCAAAACTTTTGGAAGGCGCTACCGGGTTTAGAATAAGGGCGGGCAGGCCGGGGCGTCACCTGTGAAAATGTGCTGCCCGCCCAAAAAGTCCCCCTGAAAACAGGTAAACAAATACAAACCATGCCATTACACTGGCGAGTAGCAAAATCAAAACAGAGCACATTCAAAAACAATGAACAGCAGGCGCATGTGTGTGTGTGTGTGTGTGTGTGTGTGTGTGTGTGTGAGAGAGAGAGAGAGAGAGAGAGAGAGAGAGAGAGAGGACACGTACGAATCAAGCTGTGGCTGCGAGGAGGAGCTGAAAATTTGTGATTTTGCACCTCTCCACAAGCACGTCCAGATTCAGGCATGAAATATCGACTCTTTCTACCTCGAAGTGGTAGAATCCAGCTCGGTCAGGAACAGTAGGTGGATGTGCACTCGCAAGCTGTACAGCCTTCAGAGAGCAATCCCGCTGAACCTCGCCCCTTCCCTGTGCATGGCCAATCAGGGTCCCTTTTTTGCGTAGATCGGACGGATTCTACCTCGGGTAGTGAAGTGGCCTCTCCAGAGGATGGTGGCTGTGCCATGCCATTGTGTCTCCACACAGCTACAGTTCGGTTAGCATGCGCCAGCATAGTCGCTGCTCTGAACACTATGAAGGGATGGTCACTGCCAGACTCTGCTGTGAAAACTGCAACCCATTGTCTTGCACTCGTCCTCCCTCCCCCCCTCCTCCCCACGTAATTACTTGCTCAGCATGTCGTTGTGGCCTTGACGTGCCATTCTTAAATAGCTGTGAATGTCAGCCGGCTATTCTGCTGGCATGTCAACAGCATGCCATGGGTCGTCACTGTCTCCAGGAAGCTGTCATATAAAGTATGTGTCTCTATTGCGTGGGGCCATCACTTGCCACACCCTCTCCTAGGATGTCCCACATGCAGCATTGTGCATACACCTGCTGCAAACGCAGCTGGAACTCCGTCGTCTTCGCCAGACGAGCAACCGACACAGCAGCCTGAGGAAAAATAGACTATCAAATGAATCACCTGGAGAGTGCTGTACTGAAAAGTTATCTCCGCCAGGGCGACCGGTTGCAGACCAAAACTTGCAACAGCTAAAGAATCTCACTTGGGATCAGTCCCCATCATCGTCTGCTCATAGAGAGGGAATAACGACTGCGGATACCGAAGAAACCTGCTCAATGCCGCTCTGTGATGGCCCACGTGAGATTCGGCTAGCATGTAATTCGCATCCCTTGTGTCGTGAGGATTATGAAGGCGCATCCCATGAAACTTTTTATTTTCATACGTATGATATAACAGTCAACGTTGCACTCGTGTAGGGCGTTGATATGTCAAGTCCGATTCGGAAACAGGTGCTCGAACGGCAATGCCTTTACTATTGCCGTTGGCGTGCCTCTGTGTTCCTAGCATCTAGGAGCCACGAAGCCTGTGACATCGGTCTACGCCGTGCCATTTGATGCAGCAACTATAACTGCCAGAATTGGATGCGGTGCTTCCGCAGTCCACACCCGGACCGGTCCTGTCCGGTCTGAAGGGGTGGCGACTTATCGTAGGCAACGGCTGCTCCTCAACTCTAAATCTCCTGCAACTCAAATACTAACTGGCCTCTTGTGCCATTCTAGAGTGTAGTCTGTTCAAGCGGTGAGTATGGAGATAATTTAAGAACCACTGAAGGTCGTCATTCCTCTGTTCTGTTCTTTGCCCTCCAACTTCCCTCTACCCCTTCTCCGTCCTCCGCACCCCGCTTCCTATGGTTTACCCCGTACCCTTCCTTCTTTCCTCCCTCCCCTTGTCTACTACTAGTAAATGCATATGAATGACCATCATTAAGAGAACAGACGAAGTATAAATGAACGTTTGAAGAACAATGAACAGGAGTATGCCTCCCTTTTACTCTGCCTCCTTTCATAATGTGGAAGTTTGCCGTAGTATGCCTCCCTTTTACTCTGCCTCCTTTCATAATGTGGAAGTTTGCCGTAAGGCACACGGGGATGTGGGCAGCTGGCCCTCAACTGCTTGTCAACGTGGCCAGCCTTGTACGTGAGAGGCACAGTGAAAAAGGGGAGCTGCAAGAGCAAACAGAAGGGGTACCCCAAAGGAAGCCAGAGGAAAGAAAGTCAAGAGAACGCCAGATATGGCATGAGGGTCTTAAACCATCGGTACTCAGCGGAAGTCGCGGCGGTAAAGAAGCTGTGGCAATGATTTCCGAACGGGCTCACACATTGGTGTGGCGCCTGTTTTCTACTCGGATTTTTTCCATGGTCGATGTATGGGCCAAGTACTGGTGGTTTAAAGCACCCAAAGGCTAGGGCATGTTGGGTAGAAACTTCGTACACGTTCGCTCACGCTGAAATCTGGCGGCAACATTTTCCCAAGGGAGGTGTACCACCTCACTCAGAACTTCTAGTCCGCCGATGATAACTTCACCACTGTACTATAAAAGTATGGATACTCGTGTTCATCCTCGTCACTTTCGAATTGCTTGAGATTGTGTGCTTGCTTGCACACAATCTGTTCTACGCCTATGTCGTTGAAAAGTAGAGTGCCGATGATGCATTAGGAAAACTCTAATCCATATCCTACCACGTGTTTGGTCTCGCCTTGTGTGGAAGCATTGGTTTGTAAGCTGTGAATACAGATACAGAAATCCCTCTGATAATCCGTCCATGACAAACAGTGAAAGAACGTGTTAGAGGTGGCCACACCCTTTCTACTGCGTGAACAACCTGCTGCCTGTAATGCATTCGAGTCTCGGCGGTTTCGAACTGTGTTGCTCCAATGATTTTCTGGATGGTTGAAGGAGCGTGTTTCTGTTGGGAATTTGCAAGACTTCAATAACTTCTTTCCATGCGCAACACTCAAACAAACTGAAGTGAAGACCAGTTTTGAAGATGGCAATTGGAGAAAAGCTTTAGGCCAACCTCACATTGAACAATCACACCAACCCACTGTATGAAAATTTAAAAAGGTGATGTCCACTTGAGGGTCAGGTTTTGCACTGAGCAGCCTGAAAACAAAGAATACTAAAAAAAAAACATGCAGTATAGAGCCACAGGCCCACAACACACTGCCTATGGCTGCACCCAAACGCTCTCCTTCAACTGTCAAGACGATTGGCGCTGCTGCTGCTGCCTCTTCTCCTTACCCCACCAAAATCACAAAATGAAAATGAATGAACCGTAGTCCTAAAAGAAGTAAAAAAAGTCTTAGCTCGTCACTTTTTGCTATGCGAATTTTGCCTGGGCCTAGAAACTTTTATTAGAGGTCGATGTCCCAAGGGTCTTATGCGTCCAAGATCAACGGAAGTCTAGCATTGCCTCCTGCCCACCAAGCAAAACCAGTAGACTCTTGGTCACGGCCACCTAATGCCGAAGTTCCATTAAAGAGCGTTTCCACGTGGAAGTACCTCCTCAGGGAATACAAGATTTTCATGAGGCTGATCTTGAGCTGCCATCCAAGCACGAATTCCTTCGTTAAGCAAGATATTCTTAGTACATGGAGGTTCCTTCCATGCTGACCCAGATGAGATCTCCCTCTTCGAATGGGGAAGGTCTACGGTGTCAATTGACTTCAACAACAACTACATGTTCTTGCGCCTTTTGCATATCCTTGATGGCCTATCACAGTCTGTAAGGGAGCTGCTTGGTGAACTCTGTTGTTCCAGGAGGAGGATACTTCTGCTGTCAATCTGGAACCAAGAAATCAACTGGTGTACGCGACTTCCATCCAAAATGAAGAGCATTAGGTGTCGGAGTGGTGGCTGGGTGTACTGAGTAGTAGTAAACGTTCTCCACCTTAGCCAGTTTTCGACCCCAGTCGCTCTGATCAGGCGTGATGAGGTGACGCAACACCTGCTGAATGGTATGCGGCTCGTGTATCCAGTCTGTCCGTTTGTTTGGGGGTGATTGGCAAAATGCGTCTCGAGTTCTGCACCAACAAGCTCCATCAGGTTGCCCCACATCTCACTAGAAAAGCGAGAATCCCTGTCGCTTATGATCTTCCGTGGCGACCCGCATTCCGAACACCAATGGTCTGAGAATGACTAGACCAACCACTTCCTTCGCTAAAGAATGTCGTTGTCGCATATGTAACCTGATAAATTTTGAAAACCGACCGACGATGACGAAGAGCATGTTGTTTCTATCCTTTGATACCTGCAGCCCACGCATGAAGTCCATGGAGATTGACTGCCCGATCTCTTCTCTTGGTATAGGTCACAGTTGCAAAAGTCCATACGACTAGTGACTCCGGTTTTTGTTCGTTGGCAAACAACACAGCTATTGACATATTCCGCTGCACCATCCCTCGTGGGAGACCAATAGAAACACTCCGCTACTTATGAAGGTCTTCTTGAAACCGAAATGCCGACGTGTGTCATGGCATTCACCGAGCACGTTCACCCTTTATTCTTGTGGCACACAAAGTCTTTGCACGCCCTTGCTTTCCACGAACAGAGTACGCCTTATGCAATGTATAGTCCGGGGCTGAACCGGATCTGCCTCCAGGTCTGCGATCAACTGGACTGAATACTTGCGGCCTCTTCCTTGCTCTTTCCTTCTAACTATTGTTCCTCCGGTTATCTGAACCGATCTACTCCTGCTTACCGCCTCGCCTGCAGTCTTCCATGCATCAACCCTTGC